ATGTATAGATAGATACATACTACATAGATCATGAGATCATTTACTATCTAGTTTTCACTAAATATTCCGAAAAGCTAAAAATTCCAAGTAATATGTATGACTCAAACTCCTGGGAATAGGATGAAAGGAAAGAGCTGTACATGAAAAGTACCCAGAAGTACATAATTTATTTGTGGCTAGTGCCTCTTCAGTAGATCTCTGTGCCATCTTGCTGCAGTAGGCACAGGGCAGGAGCTGAGCTCACGAAAGAGGAAGAGGAGCAAGTGGGTCGGAAAGTGGTCCTTCTCCAGACTTCCCCAAACAGCCAGGAGGATGCTGGCTCCTCCCGTCCATTTCCTCGGGGAGTTATCATAGCAGTCATTATTTCGAAACAGCAACAACAGATAACAAGGCATAAAAACCGGCACACAGGATTGATCTGCAATTAAACAAAGCACCTCGAGGCCTCCAGACTGTGTCCCCAGCCTCGCAGAGGTAGCATCCTTCTGATGGTGGGTGTGTCCATCCCTCCCAGCCCAGTGCGGGGGGGGGACTCCCTGTAATTCATTCGAAACCCGGCAGGATTCACTGGGTCATTTACTTGGAGTCATCTTCAGTAGCAGAACTGGGAAAGACTAAGACCCAGCTGTGCTCCCAGCAAGCTACTAACTGCTGCTAATGTCTGCTCTCCAAGCAGCTGGCACAGCTCCGCCTGTGGGTTCTGTGGGTTCTCCCGCTTGGCTTGTGCTGAAAGCAGAGCGCAGTCACACTTCGGGTGAGGCTGTGAACACCTGGCCGCACTGTTTGTGTCCTGCCTCTTGCTGCTCTCGCCATCTCACTCCGGGAATTGGCTACAGTGTCTCAGTCCTTCCCGGCAGCAGGCGTGGAGTGTCCGATCACTAAGTCATACGGTCACCTGTGATCTTGACTGAAATTAGTCTGCTTTGCTTTTGTTCCTCTGCAAGGGGAGGGTACAGGATGGCTACTGAATGATTCCCTGTTTTAAATCTTCCAGAGTTAGAAGTTAGTTTAAGGATGGGCAGTACTGGGGGGAGCAGAGAGGGATGGAAGTGTAACTGGCTTCTTGGCACTGCACCTTTGAAACGCATAAAATCTGTTCTCTTCATAGTAAGACAAATGTCAGAAAAAATAAAAGAATATTTTTATTTTTTGTTTGAATAAAATACTGCAGACTTTGACATTTTTTAAAAATGAGAAAGCTGAGGATTGGCAGTGCTGAGGGTTGCTTAAATTACATTATGAATTGGAAATGGGCTCGAGCTGAGGTCTGAGTGTGCCTACCATGCCAACCTGACTCTCCATGACTCGGTGACCCTTAACCTTTTAGTATCAGGTGCTGTCTCACTGATTCTTTCACAGACAATATTTGGTACAGCTTTCCCCAGAGCTCATGTTGTAGCTGTGTTTACCCTTGCTTTGCTGAAGCATAGAGCAACTCAGAGCTTCAGTAAGCTGTCTGTGGCCACACAGCAAGAGCTTCAGTAAGCTGTCTGTGGCCACACAGCAAGGCGAGGTGTGTGCGGAAGAGGCAAAGAAGAGGGTAAAACCCAAGGTCCTGCCACAAAAGAAATCCCCATCTCTGCATCACCCTAAACTCTTCCTCACACCCCTGTGCTGTCGTAAAGTTAAAATGTAAGTTGTATGTCTGGTTCCGGCTGAAGCCAGTAGCCGGGAGCTTGATCTGCATTTTTGAAGTGGTAGTGGGGGCCCAGGTGATTGGCCTTCATCCACTGCCTTCTGCCCCATAAGAGCAAATGGATCTGAAGTGCAGAGTGGCCAAGAGTCAGACCAGACTGTGACATGGGAGGGATCATCCCAGGCAGCTTCAGTCACCTGCCACTCAGCAGTTCCTGCCTCTGCCCTGGGGTTCCTTTGCCTTGTTCCTGCTCTTGTCTTTAGGATGCATTGCTGTCTTCAATGAAATGCTTTGACCTGACATGATTTTCTTTTCTTTTGTGCATCTTCTATAGATAATTCCTTTGAGGGTACCAGAAAGTTTATACGAATCATCTCATAGTCACAGTCACAATGGCCTCTTTGTGTCGCATTTCCTTCCAAACACAATAATTTTAAAAGATTTCAATGAGGAAACACAGAAAAAGCACATGTTAGAAACAAGTTTCTATATCTGAATAATTATAATAAATACAGGCAAAACTTGGAAATTAAAAGAAATTATGCAAATGGATAAAACAATTCACTACAAACATGCTTTTTAGAAGACACACGGTGTTTAAGCACTGAGATTAGAACTAAATGTTAGAGAGACCATAGTCAGACACAACTGGAGAAAGTTGGCTGTTTATCAGCCAAAATGTACCATATGCTTAAAACTTTAAAAATCATTAAATCAAAAGTTAATACGTGACATATTTTATTTAATTAGAAAAAGCTTAAATTTGCAGACAACTAACGAAATGCTCTCAAAATAACTAAGCACAATTTAGAGCACTTGTAACGAAAGTATTACAAACTACCCCAGAAATCCAAACACCTGCATTAGTGACATAACCGTTATAAATTTTATATTTTAGCATATGTTATAGCTTATAATATAAAACATTTTTATCTTTTTGATATTTTATGAATTTCAATAACAAACATTAGGATTCATTTTGCTGAACAGGCAAAGGCATAATTATCTTCATAAAACATACAAAATATTTAAATTGTATAGGATAAAAATTAAAATGAATAACAGCCTCCTTTATACTCAGACAAGATCATCGTTCTCTAAGTGTAATTGGCAAACCCTATTTGATGCATTAAGGAAACAGTCCCTGCCCTTCCGACCCGGTGTGCGTATTTCCATCACCTAATTGTTAGCATCTACAGGGTCTATTTCTGGTTTCTCTTTTATGCCTCAGTGAAATATTTTTCCCTGTTCCTGTACAAATGCTCCAAATATCAAGCTTCAGCATCAATTATAAATTGTTTGCATATTTTCTTTATGTAATTAAGTCTAAAATAGGCTCATCATGGTCCCAGCACGAAGGTTCAGTGGCTAAAATCCTCATCTTACACATGCTAGGATCCCATATGGATGCCAGTTTGTGTCCTGGCTGCTCCACTTCCTGTCCAGCTCCCTGCCTGTGGCCTGGGAAAGCAGTCGAAGACGGCCCACAGCCTTGGGACCCTGCACCCATGTGGGAGACCCAAAGAGGTGACTGGCTCAGCCCCGACCACTGCAGCTGCTTGGGGAGTGAACCAGTGAGCGTAAGATCTTTATGTATCTCCTTCTCTCTGTAAATTTGCCTTTCTAATTAAAAATAAATATTTAAAAGGCATAAAACAGGCTCATCATATCACAAAAGTCTTAAATCATAAAGATCTTTTATTTATTTCTTTGCAATGTAGAGTTACACATTTACAAACACAGAGACAATCTCCCACCTGCTGCTTTACTCCCCTAAGCATCATAAGCCAGGGCTGGGCCAGGCTGAATCCAGGAACCAGCAGCTTCGCCCAAGTTTCCACATGGAAACTCAAGTTCGGGAGTCCAAGTGCGTGGTCACTTTTCCCAGGTGCAATGCCAGGGAGCTGAATCAGAAGTGCAGCACTCGGGGCATGCGCTGGCACTCAGATGGAATGCCAGGTATGGTAGGCAGGGTATACAGCACCAGCCCCCAAATCTGTCTTTAAGCTCAACTTGTAAATTGCACCTTGTCTGTGGAAACTGTTAGCCAGTTTATCACTGCTTCCAATTGTGCAGCAATTTCCTACTTGACCATAAGATAGCCGATCTCTCTGAACAGTGGTGGTGATACAGAGCTCAGGGTCGGGGCCGAATTCCCGACATTCATCATCATACTTGTGTCTCTAGTCTCATTACCCTGTTACTTCCTCAGGCATAGTATTAGTACCTAGTAAGGCCAGTTTGTTAGTAGTTACACAAAGGCCTAAGTAATTGCCTTAATATAGTCTTCACAATTGGTTCCAGCTAGTTGTGTAATTAGAATGTGACTAGCAGTCACCTGTTATTTAGAAGTAACGAAAGAACCCAAGACATTTCTTATAGGTAATGGCTCACTCAGGCTGGAAGCAGCATTTGTGATGAGGCACACTAGATTTGGAGGATAAGAAAAACATTAAAATATTGACTTTTGGTTCTCAGAGATGCTTACTTTTTGTGTAGCCTGGGGCAAACTTGAGTGAGAGAGGAGAGCATTGGATAGGTTAAGTAAAATGTAAGGGCTAGATTATTCTGTAACCTCAGCCTCGAAGCAAAAGGCCTGATTTGGGGCATAGAACTTTTGTTATCTGGATTTTATTAAGGCTGTGAATAAAGAAGCAAACACTGCCCTCCTACACGTGCTGGCCTTTTCTTGCTCCAGAACTTGATTATACTTGGCAAGACAAGAGCAGAAACCATGAGATTCTAGTCGTCATGAGAACCATTCTGGACTGAACAGGCAGCTCCATCAACAGGGTCATCCAGCAGCAGGTTGGTCCAGTCTTCATCAAGAACAAATACCAAGGAGGCACAACAGTGCTAAGGGTAGAAGAGATTCTAGATTTGGAGACCACAGCAACTAGTCCTTAGGAAAGGAGATTCTTGGAAGGGGGTTGTAAGAGAGCGCAAGGGCTCTCATTCTGCTGTGTCCTAAGAGTGCACAGGAGATCAGAAAAGCAAAAGATCTCATAGTGAGTGTATTTGCACCTCCAAAGAGCAGATTATACTGGTTATGTGGTAAGTACATGAAACAGAAAGGTAACATAAGTGATCCACCAGCGGCCTTCATGGAAGACCTGCCTTGTTCATTCTAGTTGCCCATACATTCACTATCTATTATTTGCTTTGTGGTTCTTTCCTGTGTCTTGCTTCAGTACCTTTTAACAAAAAGAAATCCTCGGAGTTGTGTATTGACGCTGTTAGGCATTGTTCTTACTCTGTTCTTGTTCATTGTGTTTTGTCATAAATAATCACAAGCGGCATTACTTTTATGGGTAGTCACCTTCATGAAACCTATTAAAGAGGAAGCTTTAAGTTAGTTTCACTCAACAACACTGTGCCACTGGTTCCTTCTTTGTAGGAGCTCCAAAGAGGGACCCACTGAGCAGGTGCCATGAAGCTGCTCTACCTTTTCGTCCTGGTCATCTTCTTCCTCTCTCAGGTCATACAAGGTAAGCCCTATTTGGACAATTCCTTTCATATCTGAACCGTGTTTCTTCCTCCAGCATGTTCCAGTTTTAAAAGGATGCTTCTGGTTACCAAGAACTAGTGTAGGATGAAAGATGAAATCTTCAGCTGTCTTCATGGGAAACCTATGAAAAACCACCGAAACCTACGAGGGGAATCGGGACAAAGAGGAACTTGCTGTCTGGAACAGCCTTGTGCTGCTGTGGCAAAACTTCCGTCCTTCCTTAAAAGTTGCATTTATAATGTCAAGTGTTTATCTGTGGTCTTCTAGAAACAGTAAAAGTGGAAACGATGCTAATTGAAAAGAGGCATTTCCTGTGTTTGCTCCATGACCCTTCGCAGAAAAACCAGGAGGCATGTTTTTGTTCAGGTCTTGAGCAGAGGACAGCAAGCATGAGACGTTTGACAGAGGTTGGACTTCTCTGCCTCGTGTCCAGTTACGGCCTTTCAGGGCTATGTTGCCTTTCACAGCAGAGTGAGAGGGCCAGCCCTTGGGCCAATTGGTACGAGACTATGTGAATTAGGCAGATTCCTGAAAGTTTGAACCTGGTGTCCTGCAAAAAGTCAGAAATAATGCATCCAGCTAAGTTCCTCAACTCCATCGGATGGCATATTGTTTTATAGACACATGTATAGACTCATCTGTGCCCTGCCTCTATCTCATTTTTGAAGGCTTCCAAGAGGACCAGTTCACAAAACTGATGGATTGTGGAGCTAAGGAAACAGGAGCTGAGTGCTTCCTCAGCCAGGGTCCTTCTGTCTTCTTTGGGTGAACAAAAACCTTTTGACTGTGACCCACTGGACACATTGAATGATTGTGTTGTATCACTCCAAATAGTGATCTCAAGGGATTCCTCACTCAACTGATTTACAATCAAGCAGAAGAGAAGGAAAGCTTAGGGTTTATCCTACAGGACTCTAAGGAAGAATGGGGAGAGACTTTTCATGACTGCTCACAATGAGATACTTGGTGTCCTAGGTACGGGCGGCCCAGGTATCAGTGTTCCTTGGTCATTTCCAGAGCTATGCTGAAGCACAGATTGGTCATAACAGATACTTTCATTCTATCCTCCACCTTGGGAATGAAGATGAGAATCCAGGAGCCAGTGAATGGCAGGTTTGTGAAGCTGTGTGCTGACAACATAGTTTGAACTACTTGCTCACAGTCATGGACCGAGTGGGACTGGCTGAATAAAGTAGAAACCAGACCAAGGTCCACAAACAGGATGAAATAGGCTGAATGAGAGCTAGCTTCAGCTCTGCTGTTGGTTTGCACAAAAACGGACCGGGCTTTGACAGACGTGCTGCTGACTCTGGCTGAGCCCTGGGCACCACTGCAGCCATTCCACCTGTGGGCAGCAGCTGGACTTGCCCTCTCACTTTCTGTAAGAAGATGAAGCCCTTTGCAGAAGTAGCTTTGGGGAAAAGGGGACTTCTAAAAGAGTTGAAATGGCTGATGTTCCTCAATGTTCTGGAGTCTCTGTCCTTTGGGCAAGAATTTTAAATACTCGATCTCAGTTTTAAACAGTATTTATTTGAGACAGAGGAAGGGGTGAAGGGAGAAAGGCAGAGAGGGAAAGGCAGAGACAGAGGGACAGACAGCTTTCAGTTGCTGATTCACTTTCCAAATGCCTTCAGTAGCTAAAGCTTAGGGAGGAGTCAGGCTGAACGTAGGAGGCAATACCTCAATCCAAATCTCCCACATGAGTGTCTGGGGCTGATCAGTATCAGCAAGGAGCTGGACAAGTGGTGGGGCTTGAATCACACACCGTGACACAACATGCAGGTGTCCCCGTAGCTTCTGTCTACGCCAAATGCCCACCCCTCTAACCTTAGCTTTAAGGATGTGTTTGGTAAATTCCAAAAGTAAGATTGGTAAGCCTAAAAATTGTGGGTGAAATTGAAATGGCTGCTCACACTCTTCAAATGTTTGGGGATCATAATGCATGCCCATTCAGTTGAAAAGCATATGTATGTAGAAGCCTCTTTCCAAGGAAAAGGACTATAGCATCAACTTGTGTTCAGTAGAATTCTGTGGTGTCAGTAAAAACACACAATTCTAATGTGTTGCTTCTGAAAGACCATTACTGTATGTGGAGTTTGTGCATTTCTACCCCCTAACAAAGACTTTTTGCTCTTTTTACAGGCGATGAATACAACAAAGCTGGTTACTGTGACTCACAAACAAGTGTGTGCCTGAGGAGAAAGAGAAACTGTCATTTTCCAATGCCAGGCATTTGCCCTGGAAGGAGCTTCTGTTGTTTAAGAATACAGTAGATGGAGAAATTCATGCTTGATTATCTATGCATGCTTTTCTGGAAAGCTGTGACCTCATTATATCATTTATTCATGCATTTCTTTGTCTGTGTCCATTGATACCTGCTCTGTGTTGGGGTTTTTGCTGGTATATGGGGATATGATTCAAGGTCACTTTTCCTACGAAACACGTAGACACACATATCTTATCCATGCTGTTTTGTTCAAATATATCTTCCTAGTGAAGGATGTCTCTGAAGGCAGTCTTCACAAATGGCCAAGAATTACACATGAACAGTATGAGTGGCATAAATGTGCCAAATATGAGGAAAAGTTACACATTCTGCTATAAACATGTCTGCCTTGGTGCTCAGGTGTAATTCAGGAGATATGAGAAGAACTGAAACTAATGGAAAGATGACTGATGGACAGGCACTTCAGAAACCAATCTAGATATTCTAGCTTGTCTTTTAAATTATAAAGAAACTCTGAAGAAGTTTAAGTGGGGATGTCGAGGAGGACTAGAAGTTAGAAAGAGTGGAAACAGAGCGAATGCGATGAGATGCAATAACTATCTGCAAAGGTTTTGGTCACAGAATGCAGATTAAGACAGCGTCAAAAACATGGAGTGGAAGATTTATTTACTGTGCACCAGGAAGTGGGAACCTGAGGTTTTGGTGGCAACATGCAAGAGAAACATTCCTCATTGTTTGAGTCAGTGGATGAAGACTCCCAAAAAAATCCTGTGGACTCCGGTCTGTAATTCAAAAGAAATCAAGGAAGGAGATTGTAATTGATCAGCCTTCGCATTCGCACGGTGAAAGCTAAACCCTCACTTACAGCTGAGAGCACAGGCAGAGGAAGGCAGGGTGGGAACTGATCCAGCCTGAACAGTCCAGCCTGAACCTGGTCCAGCCTTCAGCACAAGACTGAAAAGCAATTGTCAGAGAGGAAAAGGGAAGCGTGCTAGAAGCCAGGACTGAAGCTATCCAGTGGAGGGAGCTGGCAGCCAGCAGGTTGGGATGTAGCGGTTATTACCTTTGTGAGCAGCCATTCTAACTAGACTTCATTTTCATGTTAGCAACACCACCATTTCAAGAGTTCCACTAATATTCTGGGATCAAATTCATTATAATACAAGGCATCTGTGTCATGTTAGGTCAAGGGAGAAGTGAGCTTCCATAGCAAGGGATCCTGGTTCTTCTGGATAAGCTGTACACTTTCCACTGAGCCGTGGAGGAGATGTAAATTCTACTTTGGTTATCAGTAGACTCAGATTCTTTTCAGAAACACAAGTTATGCCAAGTGAAGGAGTTAACTCACTCTGCTATGGAAATCATAAGAATTGTTGATTCCGGGCCGTAGTTCTGCAGGGCAGCAAATGACTATCCATTAGTGTGAACATTCAGTGTGAGCATCCATCCATGGCTGAAAGGGCAAACAACACTGGTGATTCAACATATACGTTTTCATTTTATTCACTTATTTTCAGCTCACAGCCCATCTTGGCTTACCCATTACAAAGATTAAACTGGGCCGGGTGCATGGCCTAGTGGCTAAATCTTCACCTTGTATGTGCTAGGAGCCTATTTGGGGGCCAGTTAGTGTCCGGCTGCTCTACTTCCCATCCAGCTCCCTGCTTGTGACCTGGGACAGCAGAAAAACATGCCCTAAGGCCTTGAAACCCTGCATCCACATGGGAAACCCATAAGAAGTTCCAGCTCCTGGCTCCTGGCTCCTGGGCTCCTGGCTTTGGATCAGCTTAGTTCTGACCATTGCGGGACCTTGGGAGTGAACCAGTGGACAGAAAATCTGTCTGCCTCTGCTCTCTGTAAATCTGCCTTTCCAATAAAAAATAAATGTCAAAAAATAATTAAAACTATCCGTCTTCAATTGTGGTGGAAAAGAGACTATGCAGAAAGGTCTCCTAATTTGTGTTCATTGGCACTTGTCTCCATACTGTGATACCAGGAGTCTCAAATCCTCCATTTTTTAAGTATTTTGTGGAATGTCACTAGCTTTTATTTTCTAGCTGTGTCATTTTCTCATGACTAAGGTGTGGACCTTGAGGAGGCATGCCACAGAGACTAAGACTGTTTTCAGCACGTTCAAGAGTGTTGCAACAGTATTTAGCCTTGCAGTTAAGGTGCGGAGTAAGGCACCTTTCCTACACCAGTACTTGGATTGGTCAGTCCGTTAAGTCAGCACCTCAACCCCTGGCTTAAGCTTCCTGCTAATACAGACTCTAGGAGGCGGCAGTGGACTCGGACAACTGGATCCGGTCAGCCATGTGCAAGAGCAGAGCTGCGTTTCTGGCAGTTGGCTTTGGCTTAGCCCAAACATGGTCACTGAACACTTGGGGAATGAACCACCACATAGGAACGCCAGCCCTCTCAAAAACCTAAACACAAAACCCTTGACAACGGATGTCACCATCATGATCTGTGCATGATGCCACTGCTGCTGCCCTCCTCTGGCCGGGCTCCTCTGCTAAGTACGGCTAAGACTGTGTCCTCTGTGTCTTTGCTACACGGCTCCAAATCAAGTCCTTCAGTGTAGGGAAGAAGCTAGGCTCCATCTTCTTGGAAGAGGAGATTCTGAATAAATGATTTATAATTGTTCTTTATGAAAGAGTCATCTCTTATTAATTTATGCATGGAAAAGCACCTGTAATTTATTTTCAGCAATTTCAGTCTTAATGAATGCTCATTTTTTTTAATCAGATACACTTAGGATGTTTTAAACTGAAGGTGAAAAAATTTCATGTGTTTATTATTTTCTCAATACATTAACTCTCATTTTCTTAGCATATCCCTAAGGAAGGTAAATGGAAATTAATGTACAACAGTTTCTTAAAAACATAATAAACTTTAAGAATAAACCTTAAATATGTAAATATAATTACATTTAGTTTTCTTTTCAGATATGTTTATCTTAATGAAAGATGAAATTTTTCCTTTGACCTACTATAAATCTTGATTTCTATAATTTTATCTGCTCGAGGAACTGGAGGACCCGAATTGACAAAAACAATGATGTTCCTTACCCTTCTTTCATAATGTTTGAAAATTCATTTTTCTTTAAAAGTTATGACTTATTTGTTGTTTCCTGATAAACCAGCCATGTTGTTTAGTTACCTACTTCCTCAACTTCCAAGAATTTGTTCTTAAATACAATGATGCATTTTCATATTTAATTGATTTTCTATTTAATTAAGCCATTAAATATAAAAGGATGAAATTTACTACTGCTCTATGTAATGCAATGGCTAATTAATTAGTGTAACATTTAAGTGTTTATCTAATTTACAGACACACAGAGTAATATCTGACTTGGAAAATAATCACAAAATGACGCATCTTGGTACTCTGTAAGCCTTATGGGTAGATTTCAGGCTTCTCCGGATCAATGCCAGATTCAGGACTTTATGGTCAATAGTCAAGTGGGAAATACAGTTATGGTTTCTACAGGATTTGGCTCCAGACCTCATGCAAACAGTGGCAGCATAGGTTACACACTGATGGTGCTGACAGGACAGGAACTGGGTCTAATTATTGTGTCTGGGAGGGGGATCTTGTAAGGAGGTGGTGCTTAGATGTGGGGTGTGCCTTTGGAAAACAGTGCTTGGCATGAAAGGGATTGCTGGTAAAACCCAAGCTAGACCTTGACACTCTTCTGTTTCTGTCAAGAACACATTTCCAAACGCAGATTTATATATATATTTTTTTAATCAATTACATTGCATTATGTGACACAGTTTCATAGACCCTGGGATTCTTCCAACCCTTCCCCATACCCTCCCCACATGGTGGATTCCTCCACCTTGTTGCTGAATTACATTTCAAATTCAGTCAAGATTCTTTCATTGCAAACGTATACCAAGCAGAGTCCAGCATCTTTTTGTCCAGGTAAATTCAATGGTTTCTTGGGGAGACCATCTCTGATCTGAAGGCAGAGTTGGCAGAATATCATCCCAATCAATTGAAAGCCACAACATAACATCAACGACAATTTACAACATTATGGACTTAATTGACATGGCATTGAGTGACCAATATGTTAAAAAAAAATGCAAGTTCTTAACCACATCCTTTGACTACTTCATTGACATTTCAATTTTAGTTTATACACAGCTGGCTTCTATCCACCTTAAAATGGCTATAGGGTACTATTCAGCTGTCTCATGTCTATTTTCATTTTAGTATTTAACAGTTTATAGTGTTGAAGCATCATTTTGCTGAGCTTGGCAGATTTTAGGATAGTCTAAACTGGGTTATAACTCTAACAAGGCATATGTCAACAATTGAGGTGCAGAACAGTTTTAGGAGGGGTGTGCAGAGAAACCTTAAATACCTTAGTGAGGAGTAACTAATCCTTGCCAAACACAGATTTCTTTAAAATCATTTTTCTTACTATCCAAGGAATGGTTTTGAGCATAGAGAAGATTTGAATTTTATTGAAGAAACCCTGTGATACTCCTGGAAAATTCAGTATGTGGCAATAATTTAACATATCTCATTGTGAACTAGGAACACAACATTTCTTAATTATCTTTTCCTAAGTTTCTTTATTTATTTTGGAAGGCACATGGATAGAGACTGAAAAACAGAAAGATTGAGGGAGACACAGATTTCCATCCACTAATTCACATTGCAAATCCCCTCAACAATCATTAGGCTTGATTGAAATTGCAGAAATCAATATGGAAAGCAGATTATGCATTTATTCATAGAAAGTGGACATGTTTTATGATACAGGTACAGGAGCACAGCAATGCCGCCCACCTTTACCTACCCACATCCCCGGCCAGAGTTTTGAAGAATTTAAACAGATAAGTGTAAGTGTGCATCAGTGAGTGAGTGGATAGGTTATCTACATATGTGGCTTCATAACTCCAGCCATTTCAGAAGCAAAGAGTACAGCTAGCATTCAAGGTTCAGCTTCTAAAAGCATTTTCCAGCAAAGGAACAAGAGTTCTTGAGGAACCACAGATTCCAACACTAGGAAGGGAAAATGAAAGAGGAGTCTAGAATACGAGGTAGTGCCAGGGACGGAAGAAGTACCCAAAAAATAGAAAATCCAAAACAAAAACAAATTGTTCCAAATGGCCAAAGATGAAATAACCATATAAAGTAGCAAAATATGCAGTTAAAATCTAAAGGACAAAATATATACCAAGAACGGTACAGAAAGAAAGAACGGAAGCCTATACTTGATTAATAAATATGGGTGTGTGGAGGCAAATGAAAACCAGTAGGAGGATAACATGCCAACAGTTGCAAGCAGAACCCACCACCAGTGAGTGAAAGCAGAAGCAAGATGCTCATATAATCTCAAAATTGTTTTCCAAAATACACCTAATAATTTCAAAGAGAAATAATAGCTTTGTAGAGAAGAAATCTGGCAGACAGCTCCTAATCAGGAGACAATTCATTTAAGAAAAGCAGTTTACTAAGACGTCAAAAGGATTAAGCACTAAAAAACAAAACATTGGGACTCATTCAAAAGAACAGTCAGGCTGACTGCAAGCATTCCACATTGCATGGCTGGAAAACTTGAGCAAAGCAGTATTCTACTCAAAAACCCATCAGAACCTCCTCAACGCATGGCTATCCACAAAAAATAAAACCAAACAGGGCTTCAAAGACCACACTCTATTTGGATGCTAATCTGATACTGTGCTGTACTCTGCTACTGGCGTCTTCAGAAATTGCTTAGCGCTCACGGGAGCAGGGGGCGTATGAAGCAGGCATGTTTATCAACCAAGGAAAGCTGTAAATTGTAGAGGAGTACACTTGGATCTTGGCATGATCGTTCTTCACATGCGCACTGACACTGCAGTCAGCCTCACCAGACGAACCGAGAGGCGAGTCTCCAAAGCCTTCCCCCATAAATAGATCCTCTAAATTGTTTCAGTGCTGAGAAAGTAGTCAAACAATTAAGAGTCATTCCAGGTGAAGAACATAGAAAAATGACAATGAAATCTCTGTGCTATCTCCTAACCTGAAAACAGGACAGGCAAAGACCTTGTTCACCATCAGCTCGCGGTGTGTCCGAACGAGTGTGCATGCAGTTCGTGGGCCTGCCTCATCGGCACAGCCTGAGAGAGACCAGACGCAGGGCCATGTGTCGGTGGCAGCAGCTTTACTGAGCACAGCAGCAGGAGCGGTCAGGGCTTTCTCAGGCGTCCTCGGGCTGTGCGCTTACACTCGGCAGCAGTGTTTCTTCCGACCCTTGCACTGTGCAGGCAGGATGGAGCACCCGTGCGTTTTCTGGTGCTTGCAGGCACCACCCATGTTTTCACAGGCAAGGAATTTCCTTTGCCTTTGATGTCCTGGAGAGGAGGAAGGGGTGAGGAAGCAGAGAATTCTTATTTACAAAAAGCAACTGGAATCCACCTAGCAAAGTCAAAACGTACTGCCTATTCAGGTGTGACATGTAGGCTTACAATTTTTTTTAAGATTTATTTATTTAATTGGAAAGCCAGTTATACAGAGAGAAGGAGAAACAGAGAAAAAGATCTTTCGTTCACTGGTTCAACTCCCCCAAGCAGCTGCATGGCTAGAGCTGAGCTGACCAGAAACCAGGAGCCTGGAGCCTACTCTGGGTCTCCCACGCGGTTGCAGGGTCCCAGTGCTTTGGGCTGTCCTCACCTGCTCCCTCTGGCCACAAGCTGGGAGCTGGAATGGAAGTGGAGCAGCCAGGGTATGAACTGGCGCCCAGATGGGAACCCACGTGTGCAAGGCTAGGACTTTAGCTGCTAAGCTATCACACTAGACCCCAGAGTGGTTCTTACATTCTAACATTGGTTGAAATTTCCAAAGCAGAATAATATAAAAATGTATGGAAATCATGAAACTCAAATTTCATTGCCCATTAATTCAGTTCCACAGGAAGAGAGCTGTATCACTCCTTCATTTTGTATTTCTGTGGCTGCTATTATACCAAAAACAGATGAACTGTGACCAAGAACAAATGGTGTAGACTGCTGAAGTGTGTAATCAGGTCCTTTACAGAAAAGCGTTCTGACTGCCGGAGCATCATCTCCCGATTCCTGCCTGCCTAAAGACGCTCCCCATGAAAATCTCCTACACAGTCTGACAACTATGTGAGCACAGTGAGGAATGTGGGAATGCGTGACCAGCGAGTGATGCTAACTCATGCTGCTTTGCCGTACTCTGTGCAGTGTGACTGTACCCTAGGCCGGGAAGTATCACGTGCTGTACGCATGGTATGAAGTCACAGCAGTCTTAAGCTGGAAAGAAAATGCTTGCAAGTTGGGAGGTTGACTATAGCAGTTTAGAGAACAGCGTGAAAACAGCACTGAATCATGTGTGCAGTCCAGAAGGCAATAAAGAAAGTGCAAAATGACCTCAAGGAAGCAAGGAATGAGAAGCATTTCTGTTAGAGACTATGGATTTTATAATATACAGATAAAATACAGATTTATGGGTGTGAGGTGAAGCACACGCACCCGGACTTAAGGGACACCATTCCTCATCCGTGTTCTGTCCCTGTAGTTATGGGCAAGCCTATTTTCCTCTGAGAAACTAGTTAATGAATTTCAAACAGAATAAGTCCTTTCATAGTGCAGCTCTTAATTGCCAAAGTCAAACTCCTCAGATTTGTTTATTTTGTGGTGACCAGTGACCTCACAGTGGAGGACGCCGTCTGTTGTGTCGGAATGCTTACACATGATGGCTTTCAATCAGGAGCAAGAATTAGGCCTTTGATATTTTAGCATGCCATGACTTGGATGTGTCAACAACAGTAATACTGGAACTGAGCTAATACATGCAAAGAGGTCACCAGGTTAACATCTAAATCCCCAGGCAAGTTTGAATTCCAGACAACGATTTGTCCCAAATATAGCACAGGAAACATCCATACTAGATCACTCAATGTTTACATACAGCTTAATTTTTAAATGCAGTTTTGGATTTGTTGAGCTCTTAACAAGAACATTGCCTTTGGGTTGTACTCAAGTCTAGGTGTCACTGCCTGTAGCCCACAACGCTCAGAACAACTTAGGCCATTTCTTAGTCTCATCTGTAAGACACGGGGTGAAACGAGCCTCTCCGTAAATACGGCTGTGGAAATGCATGTGAGATAGAACATCCAGAGTCTTGTTATGGTGTTTTATAAACAGAAAAGGGCCCATACTGCTTCCTGTTTTCATTAGTGCTTTTGCTGTGATCATTACTCACATGGTGTTGTTTGTAAAACCACTTAAATGTTACCAATCACAGTGGTTTTACAGGAGCTTTCTCCCATAAACACTAGCTACAGCTCACTTTAAGAAGATTTCTGACACTGTTCAAATTTCCCTCTCTTTTGTGACCTGAAGTGTGCAGCTTCTAGGCTTACCTGATGCTGTCTGGATTAGACATACTAGCAGGAGAAAGAGAAGAAAGAGCAGCTTCATAATGGGATGAGAGGTCTTGGAGAGGCGTCTGGTGTCTGGAAATGACTCTGTCTTCGGTGCACGCCAGTGGGGGCAGGTGATCTGGGAGAGAAGTTGGAAAGCTCAGCTGGAGGTAAAAGGCTTAGCAACATCTTTTGATACATTCAAATTAGAAAATGTTTCATCTCTGGACACATTCAAGTTTCCTGTTGCCGCACAAGAATGGTATTACAGGTATTTTCTGCTGAATTCTCATTTCTGCCTACAATTGATACTTTGCTATAATGAAGGGCAGATCTTAGAGGAAATGCTTCCAAACTTTGTCCTTTCAGTCTGATGCTGGCTGGGGCCTGTCATCTATTGCTTTGCTTGGGCTGAGCAATGATCCTTCTATATCCAATTTACTCAAGATTTCTGTCATGGAATGATGTACTTTATCAGATGCCTCCTGTGCATCTATTGAGATAATCGGTTTTTCTTCTTCAAATTGATTGTGAAATGACACGTTTACTGAGCTGTGTATGTTGAACCATCCCTCCACACAAAGATCAATACTACTTAGCCAAGGTAAATAATTTTTCTCATGTGTTGCTGGATTTGATTAATATTTTGTTGAGGATTTTTGCATCTTAAGTTCATCAGGGACACAAAGTTTTAGCTAGAGCCATTAGGCAAGAAAAATAGATAAAAGGGATATGAATTGGAAGAAGAGCAGTATCCCTTTTGGCACATGACATGATCTTACATACAGGAAACCAAAAGACTCCAGTGAAACTACCACCATTTCATTACAGAGTTTGGTTGTGTTGAAGAATGTAAAACCAACACACAAAATCAGTAATTCATAAACATAAACTGAGAAAAATGTAATATCAGACTCATCCACAATAGGTATAAACATCTTTAAATAGCTTGGAAAGTTAGCCAAGGATGTAAATGGTCATTAGAATGAAAATTACAAAGTATTAAAGAAATAGAAAGTATAAACACACAAAAAACAGAAAAAAAATCTCCCATGATCCTGTGTTATAATTATTGTAATCAAATGTCCACACGATCCCAATCAAATTACCAAGAACTTTCTTTTAAAATCTAGAAAAAAATGCTAATATTCACATGAAAACACAAGACCCAAATATTTAAAGCTTAAACAACAAAAGTAATTCTGGGGGAAGGGAATCACAATGTCAGATTTTAAGGCATTGGCACAAAAAAGACCAATTAAACAGAATAGAAACCCCAGAAATGACTCCATTCACCTACAATAAACCAATCTTTGACAGACGAGTGAAATCAATCCCTAGAGAAAGGACAGTTTCTTCAACAAATGATGTTGGGAAACTGCAGCTGCATATACCGAAGCATGCAACATGAGCCCTGATTTGCAACTTCTTCGTGAATACATTCACTGTGAATCAATGGTCCAAATCTACAACCAGATATTGTGATAATTCTAGAACAAAATATTAGGGAAACTCAGCAAGACATTGTCACAGGCAAAGACTTCTTGGAAAAGACCTCAGAAGCACAGGCAAACAAATTTTAAAAATAGACAAATAGGAATACATCAAGCTAAGAGGCTTCTGTATTGTAATGAAAGCACTCAAGGGAAAGAGATAATTAACAGTACGGGGGAAATATGTGTAAATTATATAATTGATAATGACTTGATACGTAGGATCTTAAAGAGCACAAGAAAATAGAACAGAACAAAACAAAGCATTCAGCTAAAAAAGGAGCAAATGACACGAACAGGAATTTTCCAAGGATGAAATTCAAATGGCCTACAGACATATGAAAAATGTTAAGGACCATTAGAAAACGAAAATAAAAAGCACAATGAGGCTTCATCACACCCCAGGTAGAATGGTTATCATCCAAAAATTAAAAAAATAATAATAAACAGTGGTGAAGACATGGGGAAAAGTACCTCCATCCACTGTTATTTGAAGCTGGTATAAGCATTGTGGAAGAGAATGCGGAATCCTCGGAGATCTGAAAATAGATCTACCATATGACCCAGCCATGCTACTCCTGGAAATACACAGAAACAAAATGAAATAAATGTAGGAGTTATCTGTTCCCCCATGATTATTGTGTCTCAATTCGTAATAGCTAAGATACGGGTTTAACGCACATGTCCATTAAGTGATGAAGGAAGGAGGTATTTATGTATCGTGGAGTACTCCTCAGCTACAAAAAAAATAATAATATGCTGCCTTTGCAACAAAAGGAGTACCCCTGGAAACCGAAAAGGTAGATATTATATGTTTACTCAGCTATTTAGTAAAATACAAAATATATACATGAATGAAATGGACTTTTTTAATTGTTGTTTTTGTCTCTGTTTATGCTCCAGCAGAGCTGCAGTCTTTCTACATTTTACTTGTTAAATTTTATATTTTGTAGTGAATTAAGCCTGGAATTGTTACTGAGTGGATTAAAATTATGCTTTTTCAAAATTAGAGAAAGGGATAAAGGAATGAGAGGGACTTAAGAGACAGACATAGGAAGGGAAATATGCTTACCTTTTCAGGATTATACTATGAAATACAAGAAATCTCTGCTCTTTGTATTAATAAAAATTTTAAAGATATATGATTGATTGAAGCTGAAAAATGATACATTCCTGCATACTTTGTTAATCACTAAGATCCAAAAATGTAGAGATAATACTTAGTGCACAGTATTCTTCCTCATTGCTGATGAGAACCCCAAGCCAGGAGGGCACGGGAATGGGGCATCTTATGGGACTGTGTCATAAAATAACAAAAATAAATTTGATAAGAAATAATGTTTAACTGTTCTTTACAAATGTAAAAATCCTGACTACAGTTTTTAGTGATTGTATCCTCGAGTGTTTATTCAAGTAACTTAAAAATCTTGAAAATTCATATCAACACTGCCTAGATAATTTGTGTTAAAAAAAAAAAAGCAAGCATGGTTTAATAAAGAAGAACAGACTGTGAAATCTTGAGTCCACAGACTGCTGGTACCGGAGACAAGTTTAAAGTCTGCAGGCAACGGTCTGTGAGTGGGTGAGAGACCAAGGTCAAAGGCTGCAGACACGAGTCCCCAGCTGGGCAAAGGTCCAAGGCCGCAGAGCTGTGAGCTTTAAGGGACAGTCATGTACTGAGATTCCTGTACTTGGATCATGCTGTTGCTTCCTGATGACCAAGGGTTGGCTGGTTAACGTCAGAATGGCACACTGCTATCAAAGTTTGTGCCACAGCAATTCTTACAAGTTGATCCACAAGTTCAATGTAAGATTGAGGCAATGAGCCCCTAGGTCTCTCTCCTTCCTCAGAAAGAGGGGCTTGCCTTGGACTGTCCCCCAGTTTTGTTGTCTTCGTCTTGTGTTTGCCTCATTTTATATTTCCTCATTTACATATCTTCCTTCTCTCTAAACCCGTATACCGAGAAGGTCGTGGTACAAAGACTTGCATGTGAATGTTTTCAGCGTATTTTGTACAATCATGACAAAATTGGAACGACAAAATGTTTTGTGATAGCTGAATCCATTAACAAATTGAGTACACGCGTACTAGAATATTGCTCATTAAACAGGAAAATGAGTTATCAAAACAGGAGAAGAGATGCAAATCTTTGCTATCCCATTTGTAAGACATTTTAGAAAAGACATGATTCTAGTAATGGTAAAAATAATCATTTGTTCTCTGGAGTTCAGGATGCAGGCATGGAAATGAAGTAGGTAAAATACAGGGGAGATTAATGATAATAAACTATTTCATGGAATATTTTCTGATAGTACACTCATGATTCCATGCATTTACCCATTACAAAGAATGAAGTTTAATGTCTATGAATAAAAAATAAAATTATTTAGATTATAGATAAAGAGGAAATATGTAGATCTGACAGAATATCCTACTATATTATAAATATATGCATGAATCAATTACCCTGGAAGGGGTGTGTTTGAATGTTACTGTGTGAATATTCTTTAAATAAGTGGAGTCTAGAATAATAAAGACCAGATGAACTATATAAGAATTAATAATTTCTTGTTCATAATGGTTCATGTTAATAATTCTGATATTGCCACATATGGAGAACTAGTAAGTTCATAGATTAATAACAGCTTTTGTCCAATTACATGGATAGATCAATTCTGGACAGGTTCTTATCATGCAAAGCTATTGCATACATCACCACTTTGTGCAGTATATTGTATAGCATAGGGATTATAACTCATTCCTATAGTAAAAGAATCAAAAACACCAACTCAACAAAGACATTGAAATTCCCCTTCGCTGCTTCCTGCTTCCCTTCTGTTTTACTTCACATTACTTATATAACTCCTTTATTATCCTGGGAGATTATAAAGTCACAGGCAACTGTTCCACTATTTCACATTCTCCATGTTTTGAAGCAACACTGTAAAGTGAAGGTTCTCAGGTTTCTTTTTTAATGCATGAGGTCTTGTATGAAAGAATGAACACATGAATGAACACATGGATGGCTGGAAAAAGTAGACTGCAGGGACTAAAGTGCTACAGTTGAATGATACTGTCCCCTCCAAATTCATAAGTTGAAATGTCCACCTTCAAGATAGTCATGAGATGTTGACCATGTTTGGTGTAGGAATAAGAAGTCCTTAAACAGAGCCATTACAAGGCTTGCACTTTGACCTAGTGGTCTCAAGCTGTGGGGTCCAGCATCCCTATGGGTACCAGCTTGAGTTTTGGCTGCTCCACTTTTGGTCTAGCTTCACGATAATGGTCTGGGAAAACCATTGATGCCAGTGCAAGATGGCATCATTGTTTGGGGCCCTGTGCCCATGTGGGAGATGGGGAAGACATTCCTGGCGCCCAGTTTCAGATCTGCCTGGCTAGCCTGCTCTGGCTACTCTGGGAGTGAACTAGGAGATGGAAGAGTTCAGTCTCTCTCTCTCTTTCTCACACACACACACACACACACACCTACAGTCATACACCTTTATGTACCAGGAATCTTAATACCTTAAGTGATGCCTTAATTATTTGAAATAGGTACATTCTGTAAGCAAGTCAGGACAGGTCATACAACTAACCTGTATTGTATCTATTTGTTCATTCTCAAAACATTATTGCAGTATTTTTTACTGGAAAAAAAAAACAGTAATATTGGCTAAATGAAGAGGCATAGCTACAATGAGATAAGGTAGTACTTGTGTGTGTGTGTTTGTGCACGTATTTGAAAGCAAGAGATTTAGAGACTAAAGGGGCGTGTGTGATTAAAGGTTATTAATTTACCAACTCCTATCAAAGAGGAAAGGAAGAGCTGTGATAGAGTATGGTGGATTGTGTAAAGACAAGTGCCCCCTGGAGGATGTCCCCAAATACTCATCACCCATACCAGGGTCAGGGTCGGGGGAGGGCAGCAGTACTATGTAGAGCTCAAGGGTCTAAGATGTGACAGATCGTCAATATCTTCATTAGTAATCAAAAATTTCCAAGTTGTAACCTGACCAAAGCGTTGAGGTTAGTTACTCTCTCGTCACTGTTCTGTCACCACCACTAGCACACTGACCATAAAGACCACCTGGACATGATGGCCATTGGTGGTGTCAACTTATTTTTCTAATTTATTGTTTGCTCAGTTCTTCTCTTACCCCAGAGATTATGAGAAGACTTGAGAATAGAAGTAATGCCTTTTTCTACTTGGTAGTCATGTCCTTAGCTGACATGCACTTCTGATTTTACGTGAAGGTTAGTGACACTCTTCCTTCTAAACATATTTTACTTTTTTTTTTTTACATTTAGTGGACAAATTTCACATATTTCACGATGCAGATTTAGAGGTACAATGGTACTTTCCACCCTTCTCTCACTGATGCCCACACTCCCTTCCACCCTCCTCTGTCCTGATTTCACAAACTACTCTACCACATTCTCAGACGGAAGCAATGGCCCAAGCTGTCATGGAGCCTGGAGGAGTTCCTGAGAGGGTTCTCCTGCCTACTTACTCATGAGTATACACTTTGTTCTGTTTTCTGTCAGGAAAATCCTTTCCTTCTAGACTAACATCAAATCATTTTTTAAGTGATGGACAGTGTCAATAAATGACTGCCTTGGTGCTTTTCCCATGATCGCTTCCTGAGTTTGAAGTGACTTGTAAGGACACTTACTGTCCTCAGAGCTTCTGTTCGGCACACCACGCACCCACCCAGTCCTAGCCGTGCCAGATCTACTCTCAGCTGCTGCTTCTTTTTTGTTAGCTCAACTCTATGGTACTCTTAGTGCTGGCTTTTTCTTTCAGTCTGGAAGCCAGTTAGAGATAAAATGTCTTTCCTTTCTGAACTTTAAATCAGTGTTTGAATCTTTGGCAAAGTAGAGAACTGTTTTAGCGTGTTGGTTTTGAGTATCTTGAGTTACCTGACTTCGTTGGCAGTATCTACGAGAATAATGAAAATGGCAATTATAATGTTGGGGTTCATTCAAGTGACTCTGAGGAAATACCTCTGATTGGATGATTTGTGCTGCCTGCAGTTCTGGTCCCCTGGAAGGCTGGGAGCAGGCATTGGTCTGGGAGAGGCCATTCCCCAGTGGGCCTTGTGTGTTCTTGAGTGTTGATGGAAAATCTGAGTTCTCTTGAGCATCCTGCTAAGGATACCTGTCTCATTCCTGAGGGCCCAGCTTCATGATCTTATCATCTCCCCAAGCACCTCACCTCTTACTACTGTGTTTTTAATTAAAATTCGTATGTTGAATCTTCAGACATGATCAAATAATAATATTAATAATAGAAAATGAGTAAAATCTGAAACTACGTATCCGCATTCCTGCTTCCCCTGAGACTTTAGTTCCTCCTTCCTGCCTCACACCCCTTCTTCATTCAGTTCTTTTGTACTCTGGATCACCTACCTGCACAGTTCTTGCTCTTCCCTCCAGAGGCTGTGTTCTCCCTGTCCATTCAGCAGGGACTCTGAGGTTGCTGCCCACTAACCCAGGTCAGAGTTAGAGCCAAGTGAGGCTGCACAGCTTGCATTATGACACTCATCTGGACAGCGGTCAGGCTTGAGTGGTCTCTAGTGGGCAGAAGGATGCGAGAGAGTTGAAATCAGTAGATGAAACTTTGAAAGGATTTTGCTGAAAAGCAGAACAACAAGAGGTAATAACCGAAGGGTAACAGAGTATGAGATGTACTTGTTTTAGTTTTTGTTGATTTCTCGATGGGGGATAAGAGAAATTGAGAGAAAGGATTTCTGGAGCTACTTTCATGAGTAGGAAAGATGGCTCCAGGACACAAGTGGGAGGTTGGTCACAGATTGCAGCACAGGCAACTCTGTTGACTCACCAACTCTGATTCATGAAGTGTCCCTCAGTGTGCCGAAATCAGGATGGTATTCCTCCCACGGGAGAGTCACAATAAGACACTTTGAAATGTTGTGATAATTAAACGCTAAGCAAGTTTTATAGGATGAAACTCATATTCAAGAAAAAATTCCAATAATGAAGACAGTAAATGTTTAAAATAAACAGAAAAACTGAATCACGCTTGAAATCCATCTCGATCTGTCTGGGGCATCCAGATGGCAGCCAGCACGAAATGGCCTGGAAACATGTATGTGTCTGGCAACAGGGCTGAGAGGACTCAAATGGCCGAGGCTGGAGCAGGTGGAGCACCTGTGATGTATCTTTCTCCATGTGTCTTCTCCCTGCTGGCTCTTGAGCCTGATGAATTCAGGGAAGCCAGGTTGCACACATGGCGTGTTCTATTAGAGCCACCATGGAGCTTCCGCTCTCTGTGACATCACGCATCAAATTGACGACTCTGCACTGATGCCATCGCAAGCCCAGCCCAGGGCCCGAATGGGCACACAGACCCCTTTTTGTAGAGAACAGCTTAGATCTGGGAGTGCACATCTGGAAAAGTGATCTACAAACAGAAGAGCAGAGTCACATGTGCCCTGCAATGAGTCACCAAACAAAGGAGGCAGGGACTGACTTGCCAACGATGCAAGGCCAGCTCTGCTGCCTTGGGGAATGTGGAGTTTGCTCTGACCTCCCTGGAATAAGATGACTTGGCTGATGGTGAATGAACCCTGCCTGGCAGGGAGTAATTGCAGACCCAGTTTTACTTTCCAAGCCAGCGAATTGTTTCTGCTCTTATGTCTCAGTCTACTCTGCAGACGTAAGCCAAGTAAGAGCTTAAATGACCCTTTCCCATCAATCCTACTGTAAATTTGCTTCATTTAGCACTGATTCTGTAAATGGTAGCTTAGTAAATCTAATAAAAGCAAAAATTGGCTGCAGTCTTGAACTCTTTCTTTCTTCATATTTGTAAATAACTGGAATAATTGAAATCTTACCCACTTAACAGAGAAAAACGGGGTTTTGAAGATTTTAAGTAACCCGTGACTTTATCTCCTTTCTTGACCACGTTGAATATCATGCTAATACTACCAGTCACAGCAGAACGTCTATAATTTATTGGTCACTACTTAGTGCCCCCAGTGGTGACTGGCACTTTCCAGATGACATCCCAATGTGTATATATGCACTAATGTGAACTCAAACTCAGCCCTCTAAGACTGCACTTTGCGTTTCCATCTAAATGCAGCAGCCGAAGATCCCATCCCAGTGAGCCCAAGTGAGTCAGTCCCATCCTCTCACTTTTGAAGATTCTCAGTGTGTGCTGGTACATGCCTGATTCTGTCTCCAAACTCCTAGTGTCACCTGACTAATCCTGGCCTTGTAGTCTTGGCTTTGCAGAGCAGCTTATTCCCATAGCTCCATGCAGTGAAGTCCGACATCCTAAACTGCTAGGATCCCACAGGAACGGGTCCTTGGACATGACAAGACTTTGTGAACTTTTGGACGTAGTGGACGGTTAGCCTCAAGAGTTGTTCCTGGTGATGGGATCCCATAACCCCTGTAATTTCCCCTAGAACATTCCAGCCTGCATCCATTTTTCTCTTGTCTCTGGGAAAGGATCAGAACATTCCATTGAGACTATGTGACTTGGGCATCAGGGTTAGTTGGAACTGCAGACAATGGACAGACAGCAAATGGAATGCAAACAAAACAAAACTGAACAAAGCTAAACAACTCTGCTCTCTCGCACTGCAGTTTACCTAAGGGCAGGTTTAGATTCTCAACCACTGGAGACAGCTCTTGACTCTGGACATTCCCAAGAAAGCACCGGGAAACCTACCCAGCAAACTTCACCATCTGCCTTATCTGTTGACCTTCTGGTCCTGAGAGTGTACACACCCTCCCTCTGCCCTGTGCTGACATGGTCCACAACTACTACCGCAGTTCCTCGTTGCTGATGTGGATGTGCAGGCTGCCCGCAGTAAAAAGTTTTTTTTTTTTTTCCCTGTCATTAATGTCTGTCGGTTGAGTTTCCAAAACCCAGTCAGAGTCTCCAAAAAGTAGAGAATATATTCCTTCCTTAGACTCCTCATGGGTCCAAATCCCTAACAGCATCTATGACAACCACCTGGGGAATAACTAGATTTTTATATTTAAAAATGTAGCCCTATTGGGTCTGGCGCCATGGTGTAATGGCTAAAGTCCTCATCTTGAACACGCCGGGATCCTACATGGGTGCCTGTTCTAATCCCAGCAGCCTCACTTCCCATCCAGCTCCCTGCTTATGGCCTGGGAAAGCAGTCAAGGATGGCCCAAAGTGTTGGAACCCTGCACCCATGTGAGAGACCCGGAAAAGGCTCTCTGCTCCTGGCTTCGGGTAAGTACAGCACCAGCTGTTGTGGCCACGTGGGCAGGGAACCATTGGTCGGAAGATATTTCTCTCTGTCTCTCCTCCTCTATATATAACTGACTTTGCAATAAAAATAAATAAATCCTTTTTCAAAATGTAGCTCTATTTAGCACTTTTCTTCACCTCCTCTTTCAAAACCAAATGTCTGTGGCACAGAATGTTAATCTGGCATTTGCAATGTCAGTATCACTGAGCCTGGGTTCAAGTCCTGCCTGCTCGCCTTCCAACTCAGCTTCTTGCTAATGTGTTCATGGAAGACGATGAGCATGCGAGTCCTTGCCACCCACATAGGAGATCCAGTGTAGCCGTGTATGAGATGGACCAGCTGATGCAAGACCTTTTCCTCTTTTTCAAATAAATGAATAGATTTTTGAAAGCAAACAGTAGTTACGATGATTGGTAAAACGCCAGCATCCTGTATTGGAATACCTGATTTGACGCTGGGCTCTGACTCCTGATATCATTTCCTGGGAATACAAACCCTGGAGGACAGTGGGGATGGCTCAAACAGGTTCCGTAACACCCACATGAGAAACCTGTGCTGAGTTCCTGCTGTGGCTTTGATCCTCTCAGACACTGTGTGAACACGGGTCCTCCAACTGAAGCAGCACATGGGGGCATTATCTCTCCACAACACCCCCACCCGCCTCTCCTCCGCCCTCCACGTGTGTCATTCTCGGTATCTCTCTGCCTCTCCAATAAATAAATTAAAAATTTGAAAACTGGAAAAATATTATGCCAAATGTTGTTTTTGGTTAAGAAAAATCAGCTTTCTCCCTAAATAAATCTACCTCTACTCACTCCTGGAGTTACTGAAATTGTTAAAATGGATTATTTTTCACTCAATACTACCAATAAGGAAATGAATTTAGTCCCATCCTAAATTCAATGAGCAAGTATTTGCTCCAAACAGGTTTTTCTGGCAATAAAAAGAACTGTAGTTTCTTTGCTGTGTGTCCTCTAAGATAGCCAGTCAGGTGTGTGTGCTGCCAGTGCCATGATCTGATAACCTGTTTTTCCACCTAAACACGACTTTCTTGGCTTGTGCCAGATTGAATTCCTTGCCGAGAAGTTGTAGACAATTCAGAAGATGACTTTTGAACTTGTTTGCTTCACTGGTAAACTATTCATGAGCACATTTCCAAGTTTGTGAGACTTTATATAACTCTACTTTGGCAGCAAAAAATCTGAAATTAATGCACATAAAGTATCTTTCAAAGATTAGCGGATGGGGTGTGGCTGTGGCATGGTCTGCAGTGCTGATGTTCCATATGGGCGGCAGTTAGAGCCCCAGCCACGCCTCTTCCAATCCAGTTCCCTGATTAAAGACCTGGAACAATAATAGAGATGGCCCACATTTTGGGGTCGCTGCTCTTAAGGGGGAGACCCAGAAGAAGCTCATGTTTCTGGCTTCAGCCTGGCCCTGCCCCGGTCATTGTGGTCATTTGGGGAGTGAATCTGAAAATAGATGATCTTTCTGTCTCATCTCTTCCTCTTTTTCTCTGTAACTCTGCGTTTTGGATAATTACATTTTTTAAGAAACTAGAGGAGCAGTTGTTGTAGCATATCAGGTTGAGCTGCCACTTACAATGTTGATATCCCATATCTGAATGCAGGTCTGAGTCCTGGCTGCTCCATTCGGCTTCCTGATGACATGTCTGGAAAAGCAGCCCACGTGTCTGGGTGTCTGCCACCCACAGGATGGCCCACGTGTCTGGGTACCTGCCACCGACAGGATGGCCCACGTGTCTGGGTGTCTGCCACCCACAGGATGGCCCACGTGTCTGGGTGCCTGCCACCCACAGGATGGCCCACGTGCGTGGGTGTCTGCCACCCACAGGATGGCCCATGTGTCTGGGTGTCTGCCACCCACAGAGATTCCTGGCCTCTGCTGTCCACCTGATTTTGCCCTGACTATTGTTGCCTTTTGAAAGGTGAACCAGCAGCTTCAAGGTTTTCTTTCTGCTTCTTTTTCCTTTATCTACCAGCCCTTTGGCTCTGCCTGTCAAATGAATACATAAATATGCAAATAAATAATTTAAACTTCATGGAAATTATACATTATGAAAATTCTATGCATGGATTTCTTTTTTTAACAAAATGAACTAGTTTCAATCCCATTTTTCATGAATGTTTGAAATTATTCTCATCTGTATTAACTAGAAAGCTATGTAAATGCTTAAAGCACACAGGTGAATCTTGTAACTGTTAAACTCAAT